CTTTCTGTTTGTAGTGTGTCTACTACCTGCTAGATCCATTCCCCTCCTCTATTATTTGTTTCTAAAATTTTAGATGAGTTTTCTTGGCTCTTCATTCTTGATTTAAATGCACTGACATGCTAGGTCTAAACCAACAAGGTATATAGCAGGCTAAAATTTAAATTCCTATCTTAAAATAAAAAGAAATCATAAAACAAACAAACGATATAGGTAGAGAAGTGGGGAGAGAATAGGAAAGAGAGATGTTCTTAAGAACCAGAATTAGAAAGTCAAAGAATTCATCACAGAAGTAATTTCTCATTTACTCCTTGTTACTTGCTCCCCACTGTCCCCAGCACTCAGGACAGTCCTGGCAAAGAGTGTACCATCTGTCAATATGCATTGAGTGTATACATGAACACAGTGAGTAAACACTTCATCCCTAAAAGTATGCTAGCTGGAGAAGACTGACATTTGTCAGGAAATTATGTAGAAAGGCTTTGTGCCCTGGGTAGAGTCTGAACCTTTGCCTTGAAGGTCCTTGTAAGATTTTATGATGCCAGTAACATCTACTTATTTATTCTAGATTATTTCTCTAATCAGAAAAATAATGCATAATTGACCGATGTTGAGTAGACTGGTGCTTAGTGTTACATTGCCTCCTCAAACATTTCTTTGAGATAGGTTAATACAGGTCTTTCCCAAAGAGGAATTTGCAGATAAAAACTTTTCTTATCCTTGTGACAACAGGAAATAGGATAGAGTATATGAAAGATATTGAAGGTCTTCAGGTAGTCAACTTTTTTTCACAAAACCACTTAGGAATGTTTGAGAAGTCATTTTTTCTGTGAGTTCAGGGTACAGAAGTTCATCAAAGAAAACACTCACGTTTTTCCAGCATGATACACCTCGAAAGCTTTGTGGAGTTGGTCAAAAGGCAACTTATGGGTTATTAATGGATCTATATTAATTTCATTTTGTAGGTAAGCAGTCACTAGTTGGGGAAAACAGTCTCTGGTTTTATAATCTGCAAAATAAAAAGGCTATTGTAATAAGATTTGAGAAATATCAAACTAACCAAAAGAAAAATAAGTAAGTTGTGGAGATGGGTAAACTATTCTGAAAATTTGCCATTGATGAGTTCATTTGTACATCAGAAGTTGTTGGCTTTTGTTGCTGAGTGTGGCTGCTACAGACAGTTCTGTTACCTAGAACACCTTTGGAAAAAAATGAGGAATATACAACTATTTCCTCATCTCTCTATTCACACACATTGAGATAGCATGGGAACTTTTGATCAGAGTAATGGATGGAGATGGAAATATTAATTTAGTAAAGCTATTGGTCAGTACTGCTCAGAAATAAGGGCTCCTAAGGGAAGGCAAATATCAGTGCCAAATACCAAGTTGGTACATGTAATTATTCAGAAAGCCTCACTGTTAAAATAGCACAACAAACTTTGAGTCCACCAGTGCAGAACTGAACTTAGCTGAATTATTCCAAACACTGGGAAAACCCAGAAACTGTTTTGTAGGAGATAAAAAATTTTATTTAAATGTAAAAAAAACCTATTTAATTAAATTGGCTAAAATTTATCTGCAAAATATACCAATTCATTGGAGGAGAAGTCTTTGAAAACTTATACCACAATAGGTCTGTTTCCCCAAGGAGGAAAATTTTGAATTACATGTTTCTACAAAGTTGAAAGTGAAAGAGGAGAGTGAAAAAGTTGGCTTAAAGCTCAACATTCAGAAAACTAAGACCATGGCATCTGGTCCCATCACCTCATGGGAAATAGATGGGAAGACAGTGGAAACAGTGTCAGACTTTATTTTTGGGGGCTTCAAAATCACTGCAGATGGTGATTGCAGCCATGAAATTAAAAGATGCTTACTCCTAGGAAGGAAAGTTATGACCAACCTAGACAGCATATTAAAAAGCAGAGACATTACTTTGCCAACAAAGGTCCATCTGGTCAAGGCTATGGTTTTTCCAGTGGTCATGTATGGATGTGAGAGTTGGACTGTGAAGAAAGCTGAGCACTGAAAAATTGATGCTTTTGAACTGTGGTGTTGGAGAAGACTGAGTCCCTTGGACTGCAAGGAGATCCAGCCAGTCCATCCTAAAGGAGATCAGTCCTGGGTGTTCTTTGGAAGGACTGATGTTGAAGCTGAAACTCCAATACTTTGGCCACCTCATGTGAAGAGTTGACTCACTGGAAAAGACTGATGCTGGGAGGGATTGGGGGCAGGAGGAGAAGGGGGTGACAGAGGATGAGATGGCTGGATGGCATCACCGACTCAATGGGCATGAGTCTGAGTAAACTCTGGGAGTTGGTGATGGACAGGGAGGCCTGGCGTGCTGCGATTCATGGGGTCGCAAAGAGTTGGACACGACTGAGCGACTGAACTGAGCTGAACTGACAAAGTTGAAAGAGGTTTCGTGAAAGCAAAAGCAACTGACTTACCTCCTAAACACGTACCCTTCAGTGTCCGTCCAGTGAAAACTGCTACAGCAGAAAGGGAAAGCTTTAAATCTGGTGCAGGCACCCCAATGATTGTACAGACACCATGGCTTAGGTTGCAGGAGTCCCAAGCAGCAACCTGATAGTGAGAATAATGACCGTAAGTAGACGCCCATATGGAAGTAGCAACTATCTACAGTGTTGGAAGGAATTGTGGATTCCTAGATTTCAGACCTTTTCCTGGGCAGATGCTACTTACTTTGAGCTCAGCTTCAACACTGCCAGTGATGGAATCTCATTAGAGAACCAGTAGAGTTTAGTGGTAAAGAGTTTAGAGTAAAGTGGCAAAGACCCTGCCGCCGTGTGACTTTAGGCAAGTTACTTAACCTCCCTATGTCTATTTGTAAAAAGAAGAATAATACCACCTATGTCATAGATTTGTTATAAGGCTTAAGTGATTAAAACATTTACAATGTTATCTGGCACAGAGTAAGTACTGTGTGTTTATTTAATAAAATTACCTGCCACTTCAAAGACCACATACACTATTATTCTTTGCCTGATCTTCTCACTTGTATGACACTCTTTAGTTCATTTATATTTAAACAAAACAAATATATACATATGTGTGTGTGAAGCTTAATTAAAAAAATCCAGTTTTTTAAGGGTGTAGAGTATACTTCAGGTCAATCTATTTTACTTCTTTTCTGGTTCTTAACCTTCTATCTCTCCCCTTCCTGCATTTTGCCTATGTCTCTTTCCTGTTACATCACTGCATCTACTTCCTTCACCCTTAGACCATGTACATTAGATACACGCTGAAATGAATCGAATGCCTAATTATTTCCTCTATGCTGTCAGTTCCAAGAGTGTAGAGTCTACTTTATTCTCCCTGAACTTAACATACTGGTGCATAGGCTCATTTTTCAAATGATGAATGGTTCTGAAACAGAACACACATGAATATCATATGTGAATTACATAATGTTGATACTTAAATATAAAAACATGTTCGTGGATAAAGAGCTAGGGCTACAGGAAAGGAAATAGTGCTTGTTTAAACTTCATATATTATAGTATCATATCTTTAAAGTATATGTAGCTTTTATTTTTAAGATGGATATTTTAGAGTAACTATACATTCCATTTTTAGGTTTGGGGTCCACAGGTCCAAAACATGTTCAGGGGAGTTTTATACATAGTGTGTTCCCACCCACTAAGCAAGCATCTATAGACACAATTCATTTTACTGTGTTTTCCATTTTGCAGATATTGCATTTTTTACAGATTGAAGGTTTGTGGCAACCCTGTGTTGAGTAAGTCTATCAGCACATTTTTTCCAACAGCATTTGCTTCCTTTTTGTCTGTGTCACATTTGGTAATTCTCACAGTATTTCAAACATTTTCACTATTATTATATGTCTTATTATGATATGTAATCAGTGATCTTTGTTACTATTACAAAAAGATAATGACTCTCACTGAAGGCTCAGATGACTAGCATATTTTAGCAATAAATTGTTTTAAAATTAAGGTGTATACCTTGTTTTTTCTTAGACCAAATGCTATTGCATACTAATAGACTACAGTATAGTATAAATGTAATTTTTATGTGTGGTGGAAAACCAGAAAATTACTTGACTCGTTTTATTACAATGTTCACTTAATTGTGCTGGTCTGGAACCAAACCTACAGATCTGCTTCTACTCACTGTGACCCAAACCCACACACCATGGTTTCTGTGAGTCCGATGGCCTCAAAGGCAAAGTCAACACCGGTGCCTGTCATCTCATTGACCACCTCCTGGACGGGCTTCTTGAGATTCAAAGGGTTGAGAAAATCTGTGACCCCTAATGCTTTTGCCTGAGGAAATTTTTCCTCATTGATATCAACTCCAATGATTCTAGAAGCACCAGAGGCTTTACAGCCCATGACAACAGCTGAGCCGATTCCTCCAAGTCCAAAGACCACACAGGTAGAACCAGGAGTGACCTGCAAGTTCACAAGTCATGTTTGTGTTAGGAATCACATCTGGACACTTGTATAATTAAGAAAACAAACAAAAACAACCATTGAGGCTTTTGGAACTATAGACCCCAGTTGAAACATTTGGACTGTTTTGGTATTGTTTTTATGTTTTCTTGGCAGATCACTATAACATACTAACACACAGCTATTTTCCTCACCTGGGCCGAGTGAACAGCAGCCCCATATCCTGTAGCCACTGCACAGCTTATGATACAAATTTTATCCATGGGAGCAGCAGCATCAATTTTTACCACCGAAATCTCAGGCACAACAGTATATTCGGTGAATGTACTTGTGCGTAAAGAGTGGTAGATCTTTTCTCCTTTGCAGGTAAACCTGCTTGTGCCATCCAGCATTAATCCAGAAGAGGGCATAAGGCTGTTCAGCCGTGACACAGATGGACACAGCAGCAACCCAGAAACATTGAGTTGTAAAGAGAAATGAACACCTTTAGCTCCAGGTCAGTGCTCGCATAATATAAGCAATTTAATAAAAAGTGACAAGATAAACAAAAGATGGGCAAATCTACTAACTCTTGCTTCTCACAGAAGTTTCCCTTGGGATGCAAGCAGGCACTGCATTCTCTACACTGTGGAACAGCAAGTGTGAGGACTTTATCTCCTATATATAGGGGAAAAAAAATCATTAGTTTAAAATATTATTGAAACACAATAGTGCAGTGATAAAAACTTCATTGAATGATTTGATAACTTGCTGCAGACAGATTATGACAAGTATAACACACCCCATGGCTATTTTGGAGGAAAAATCCTATAACCTGGTTTCAGAAATCCCATTATTATTTTGGAAAAATGATGGAAATATGGGGATATTCCTTGCTGGATAGATAATTGTAGGTCTGCTTTTACTCTGGAAATAAACTAATAAAACTAGGAATGACCCTTAGAGATGTCATCTACTCTAACCTTTTGGTTTTCCTTTGAGAGATTTAAGTCCACAGTGGTCGTTACCTGCCTGAACCTGGATAACAGCAGAGACCTTTCTATTGAGCCTACCTGCCCCATGATGGCACATAGACCCACAGCAGGTCTATGACATGTTTTCTTTAGGGGGCTGTGGTTCAAGATATTCTCAGTTCAGAGAGTAAAAGGAATAGCTTTCTTTCTGCAGAGAGAGGCTGCTCCTGGAGCAGAGGGTGGTTTTTTAGGTTGCACAGTTCTAGAGAGCATACTGATTATGTGTAGGTCCAATAATTAACCCTCCTGGGACCTAGGGTTACAGGCTGGGAAGGTGAAGAGAATTAATGAACACAGTCTGAGGAACCAGAGATCAAAATGCCAACATTTGTTGGATCATAGAAAAAGCAAGAGAATTCCAGAAAAACATCTACTTCTGCTTTTTTGATTATGCTAAAACTTTTGACTGTGTAGATCACAACAAACTGTGGGAAATTCTTAAAGAGATGGGAATACCAGACTACTTTACCTGCCTCCTGAGAAATATGTATGCAGATCAGGAAGCAACAGTTAGAACTGGAGATGGAACAACAGACTGGTTCCAAATCAGGAAAGAAGTACATCAAGGCTGTATATTGTCACCCTGCTTATTTAATTTAAATGCAGAGTACATCATGTGAAATGTCAGGTTGGATGAAGCACAAGCTGGAATCAAGATTGCCAGAAGATATATCAATAACCTCAGATATGCAGATGATACCACCCTTATGGCAGAAAGTGAAGAGGAACTAAAGAACCTCTTGATGACAGAGAAAGAGAAAAGTGAAAAAAAGCTGGCTTAAAGCTCAGCATTCAAAAATTCAGATCATGGCATCTGGTCCCATCATTTCATGGCAAATAGGTGGAGAAACAATGGAAATAGTGACAGACTTTATTTTCTTGGGCTCCAAAATCACTGCAGATGGTGACTGCAGCCATGAAATTAAAAGATGCTTGCTCCTTGGAAGAAAAGCTATAACCCATCTAGACAGAATATTAAAAAGCAGAGGCATTACTTTGTCAACAGAGGTTCATCTAGTCAAAGCTATGGTTTTTCCAGTAGTCAGGTATGGATGTGATAGTTGGGCTATAAGGAAAGTTGAGTGCTGAAGAATTGATGGTTTTGAACTGTGGTGTTGGAGAAGACTCTTGAGAGTCCCTTGGACTGCAAGGAGATCAAACCAGTCCATCCTAAAGGAAATCAGTTATTGGAAGACTGATGCTGAAGCTGTGGCCAATACTTTTGCCACCTGATGCAAAGAACTGACTCATTGGATAAGACCCTGATGATGGGAAATATTGAAGGTAGGAGGAGAAGGGGACAACAGAAGATGACATGGTTTTGGATGGCAGAGGATGAGATGGTTGGATGGCATGAATTTGATGGGCTTGAATTTGAGCAAGCTCTGGGAGTTGGAGATGGACAGGGAAGCCTGGCATGCTGTAGTCCATGGGGTCCCAAAATATTGGACATGACTGAGTGACTGAATTGAACTGAACTGATACACACATACTGATATGTATTTGTATAGGCTTATAGGATCTTAATTCCCCAATCAGGCATTGAACCCAGGCTGTTGACAGGACAGCATGGAGCCCTAACCACTGGACTGCTAAGAAATACCTGTAGCATAGTATAGTGTGTGTGTCAACTGTATTTCAATAAAAAAGGAAACAGTGAATTCTTCTGCAGCTATGTCAGAATAAATTAACTTGCCAGATTATAAAATTTCCCTTTCTGCTGACAAATAATTCATTAGAAAAAAGTTTTTACTGACATATATTTGATAAACAAAATTGTGTGTAAGTTTATATTGATTTGATACATTTATATTGCAATATGATTGCCATTTTCATATTAGCTAACACTTCTTTATTTTTTATTTTTTAGCTAACTTCTATTGTGTCATGTAATTATAATTTCTTTTAGTTTCAGTAACAATTAAAATCTAGTGACTTAGCAAGCTTAATGTTTATAATATAGTTTTATTGTTTGTTTGGAAATAAAACAAGCAGCCCGTGCTCCTAGGAGATCATGATCTATTTAGAAGTACACTGGTCCTATCTCAACTAGTTGCTTGGCTCAGGCACTGCCACTCTGGATTGCTAGTGCTGACAGTGGAGAAACTGTGTGACCCTTGGAATCACTGGATACATTTACTACCATGATATGTGATTATGTAAAACAATTTAGAGGCAAACCAACTTATTTCTCCTGTAAATATGCTAATGCATTTTGGTGGTGGGTTGTTTGTGCAGAAGTTTTTGTGGCCCATTTCCTACCTGGTTTCACTGAGCTCACTCCTTCGCCAATACTCTCCACAATTCCAGCTCCTTCATGGCCTGGGATGAAGGGATACTTCACTAGGATTATTCCTTTTATAGTATGATCATCAGAACCACAGATCCCTGTAGATATCATCTGGGTAGGAATTAAGTGGCCAAGGATAAATTAGTTTGGACTTTTTCTTTTGTCTGAGACTTATTATGAATAATTTTTTTACATGAATGACCTCATTTGATCCCTGTAATAATATTCAGAGAAACACAGGGCAGGTCTAATTACCCTGGTGGCTCAGAGGTTAAAGTGTCTGCCTCCAATGCGGGAGACCCAGGTTCGATCCCTGGGTCAGGAAGTTCGATCCCTGCGTCAGGAAGATCCCCTGGAGAAGGAACTGGTAACCCACTCCAGTATTCTTGCCTGGAGAATCCCATGGATGGAGGAGCCTGGTAGGCTACAGTCCACAGGGTCACAAAGAGTCGGAAACGACTGAGCGACTTCACTCAAAGATGTGGAAAGGGAAGATTCGAACTTAAAATGACTCACCCACTCTCATGGTGCACGTTCAGATCTGGAAATAAATTAGGTCTTTTGAAATCGACTCTGTACACCCTATGTCATCAACTAGTTCGCAATATTAGAGTCTATTCTATCCAATGAAGGATTTTTGACCACGTGTCCATAGCACCACCATTGAGAAACCAAAAATTTTAGCCCAGTATTGTGGAATGTTTTCCGAATCCTCTGGGAAAATTGATTTTAAACTAGCATATTGAAAACATTAAGTTAGTAATGTAAAATGAGTTTAACTGCTGCAAGGTTTAATTGGCATTGAGAAGTTTTAAAACTTCTCAGTTAATGGCCTAAGTTTTCTTGTCTGTGGATAGACTCAATCCACTCATATTGATCATAGAAATGAAATATTTCCTGTAGCATAGCCACTGTATTACTGCTCTGCCTGGAATTCAGCCAGAAAGCATACAGGCAGGGATACTGACTAGCTGTTTCAGTATCAGTAGTGGGAGTGCTGGAACACTGAGAACAACTTTGATATATGAAATAAGATGTCCTTACAATTGTCTTCACAAGTACAAGTTCAAAGATTTAAATTTACCTTAATACGAACTTCCCCAGCCTTTGGTGGCTCAACCTCCACTTTCTCAAGTGAAAGAGAGTTCTTTTTCCAGGCAATGGCTGCCAGGCATGTGATTGTCTGTTGACACAAGGACAATAAGATGACATCATTGAGCGATAACATTTAACTTCTGATCATACAAATGACACTAACTTGCTGTAATTTGTAGCAGTAAGAAATTCACACACAAAAAAGAAAAAAGATCATTGCAATTTCAGACATAAGCTGGTAAAATTTTAGCGTATTTCTTTTGAGTCTCTTAAAATAATTTTTGTATGGTAGAGATCATGTCATATAAGCAGTTTCACATTTTAGGCTTCATTTTTTTGCCAGTGAAAGCCACCATATATTGAACATTTACTGTTTGCTTTTTCTAAAATGTTTTCTCATGATTTCAAAATGCTTTATAATTTTAAATAGTTGTTTCATATTTCATCATTTGAATATGTCCAAATATCCTTAATCAGCAACTACCTTAATCAAAACAATTGTTTCCATTGTTCTGAATATTATAATGTATATTGTTTATAATTTTGACTTGCCTGGTTTCCTTAAGTAAGAATTAATAGAGACATGGTTAGAGTGAAACTGATTTCTAAATAACTCTACAGAAAGTTTGAATGATTTGGCACAACTCCTAGGACTATAAAGCAAAATCTATGTCATCCTTTTTCCTACTCTCATTAGCATTGACTGTGGTCATTAAAAACAAAGTGACTGTCAGAAAAAGCTAGCTATTTCTTTTTATTAGTATTTTTCAATATTAAGAATGTTGCAATATTTTATGTTTATGTTAGTCATACATTTTTTTTGTGTGTGTGGAATGTTTGGTCCTATATTTTGCATAAGTATCCACTTGCATCTTGGTATTTTTTTTACTAATCATTTGATCTGTTTACACATAAAAGGAGTGACTGGCAGTCTACTAACTTGTCATATATGATTTTTCCTCCTTGATTTTTGGCCTTTATTTTTTATGAAGCTATATGTTCATATATATAGGCATAACATACATATTAAACTTTTGATTCATAAAAATATGTTTTCTTTTATTATTTGGTCCATTTCTGTACTTTGAGAATTCTCTCCATTCTTGTTGTCATTCAGTCACTCAGTCGTGTCGGTTCTTTGCGACCCTATGAATGGCAGCAGGCCAGGCTTCCCTGTCCTTCACTTTCTCTCCATATAGAGACCAAATAAACATTTGTCACCCTCTTTCTAGATTTTTATAGTTTGATTTTTAAATATTTAACTCTTAAATCTACCTCAAATTATTTTGTGTAAGATAAATTTATAGAATCTAAATGAATTGTCTCAGCATGAACTCCTGATGAATTTTTCTTTCATTTATACTTAAATTAGCACCTTTACTATATAAGTTCTTCAATTTACAAGTTTCTTTTTGGAAACCTAAATTTATCTTACTGTCTATTCTTGCACTGACACTTCAGTGAATAACTTTTTGATATTTTTTAATATCTGGTAGTACTAGAGCCTTTTGTAATTTTATTGGTGTTTCATTTGCAAGTTTACTGCACTAGTAACTGGAAGACATTATGAGCTGAGTAAAGTATGTCTTCAAGAAACTTAGAAATCAATCAAGGAGATAATACATGTCTTGTAACACAAAGAAAAGGGGAAAATGCCACAAAAGAAGTTCAAATAAAAGCAAGTAAAATTATATACTTTATGGAAAACTTCTCCTATTTCAGAAGTGATATACACTCAAGGCAAAAACTTGGAAAACTCAGATAAGTGTAAAGGAGGGACAACTTCAAGCCCAGTACCCAGCTATCAGCATTTTTAAGATTTTATAAACAGATTAACTAAAGCATTTTTTAAAAAAAATTTTATTGGAGAATAATTGCTTTACAACATTCTGCTGGCTTCTGTCAAACATCAACATGAATCAGCCACAAGTGTACATATGTCCCTCCCTGTTGAACTTCCCTCTCATCTCCCACCCCATCTCACACCAGTCAGAATGGCCATAATAAGAAATCTACAAACAATAAATGCTGTTGAGGGTGTGGAGAAAATGAAGCATTGTTTTTAAGAGTATAACACTGGAAGGAACATAACATCTAATATTAGGAAACTGACTAAATAAATAAATAAAAGCAGCATAATTATTTCCTTGGAATAAATTTCTTTGTTAAATGATAAGCACATTTTTAAGGCATTTAGTACATTATCAAACTATCACCCAGTAAGTTTCTATCAATTTATTTTCCTAACAGTAGTGCATGAGTTTGCATAGATGGGACAACATTGAGTATTATCCACAAAAATCTTTGACAACCTGTTTGGAGAAAATGTCTTAATTTTGTTTCAAAGTGCACTTTTTGGATAACTAATAAAGATGATATAGGCCTATTTGAAAAGTAGCACTTACCTTTCCCAAGGTGTCCATGATGAGTTTTCTATTTTCCTTGATGTCTTATAATGTGCCAAAGAATATCAGCTCTTTGACTCTGCTCCTGGGGAAACTGGACTATTTATGAGCTGAGAGTAATTAAAAATAATGACATAATGACACAACAACATGGGGAAACCAGAGAGGTAAGTGGTTGGCAAATATGTGAAATTGTAGGACAGCAAGGAATATGAGAATGATTCAGGAGGGCATCAGCAAGGATGGTCTACTGGGGAGAAGCCATTTGAAGAGAAGCTTTAGGTGAAAACTCAATGAAGTGATGATAAAAAAGTGAATAAACTAAGAGAACGATCAGCTCATAATTAGTTATTAAGAATTTCTGGAGCATCAATTAATACCAGGTATTGCTAGACACAGGTGATACCAGTATAACACTGGGTCTCCAAGAGTCAAAGAGATGGAAAAGCACAAGTAATGATACAATATATGTTTAAAAGCTGAGAGATAAGTGATAACAAAGACATGACAAAGACAAATAGATGACCAAAAAAAGATGACAAAGACAATGTGAGGTCACGATGAATGATGAGAGATGAGATTCAGATGAGGCTTGCCATCCTTGTTACTATCTTGGTGAGTATCCCTGCCTGTCACTTGGGAGACTGAGGTTCCTGGTGGGAAGGCTACAGGCTCTATTGGGCTTCCCTGGTGGCTCAGATGGTAAAGAGTCCACAAGCAATGCAGGAGACCTGGGTTCGATACTTGGGTTGGGAAGATCCCCTGGAGGAGGGCATGATAACCCACTCCAGTATTCTTGCCTAGAGAATTCCATGAACAGAGGAACCTAGTGGGGTCGCATAGAGTTGGACATGGCTGAGCCTCAAATACTTTTTCATTTTAGCTGCATTTTGAACAAGAAATTTATGTAAAATAAAAGAGTAGGTAACATATTCCAAATAGGGGGTAGAGCTCAATCAAGGTAAAATGAAACTGTGTAATGTGGGTCTGGAGTGATGCTGATGATGATGGCAAAGCTGCTGCTCCTGTTAATAAGGATGATATTTGGCTTAATATTTGGCTTCTGCTAGATCTGATAGACAGAGTGCCTGATGAACTATGGACGGAGGTTCATGACGTTGTATAGGAGACAGGGATCAAGACCATTCCCCATGAAAAGAAACGCAAAAAGGCAAAATGGTTGTCTGAGGAGGCCTTACAAATAGCTGTCAAAAGAAGAGAAATGAGAAGCAAAGGAGAAAAGGAAAGATATTCCCATTTGAACGCAGAGTTCCGAAGAATAGCCAGGAGAGATAGAAAGACTTCCTCAGTGATCAATGCAAAGAAATAGAGGAAAACAACAGAATGGGAAAGACTAGAGATCTCTTCAAGAAAATTAGAGATGCCAAGGGAATATTTCATGCAAAGATGGGCTCGAAAAAGGACAGAAATGGTTTGGACCTAATAGAAGCAGGAGATATTAAGAAGAGGTGGCAAGAATACACAGAAGAACTGTACAAAAAAGATCTTAATGACCCAGATAATCACGATGGTGTGATCACACACCTAGAGCCAGACATCCTGGAATGTGAAGTCATGTGGGCCTTAGAAAGCATCACTACGAACAAAGCTAGTGAATGTGATTGAATTTCAGTCCAGCTATTTCAAATCCTGAAAGATGATGCTGTGAAAGTGCTGCACTCAATATGCCAGCAAATCTGGAAAACTCAGCAGTGGCCACAGGACTGGAAAAGGTCCGTTTCATTCCAATCCCAAAGAAAGGCAATGCCAAAGAATGCTCAAACTACCTCACAATTGCACTTGTCTCACACGCTAGTAAAGTAATGCTCAAAATTCTCCATGTCAGGCTTCAGCAATACGTGAACTGAGAACTTCCAGATGTCCAAGCTTGTTTTAGAAAAGGCAGAGGAACCACAGATCAAATTGCCAACATCCGTTGGATCATGGAAAAAGCAAGAGAGTTCCAGAAAAACATCTATTTCTGCTTCATTGACTATGCCAAAGCCTTCGACTGTGTGGATCACAATATCTGTGGAAAATTCTGAAAGAGATGGGGATACCAGACCACCTGACCTGCCTCTTGAGAAACCTGTATGTAGGTCAGGAAGCAACAGTTAGAACTGGACATGGAACAACAGACTGGTTCCAAATAGGAAAAGGAGTGTGTCAAGGCTGTATATTGTCAGCCTGCTTATTTAACTTCCATGCAGAGTACATCATGAGAAATGCTGGGCTTGAGGAAGCACAAGCTGGAATCAGGATTGCCGGGAGGAATATCAATAACCTCAGATATGCAGATGATACCACCCTTATGGCAGAAAGTGAAGAGGAACTAAAAAGCCTTTTGATGAAAGTGAAAGAGGAGAGTGAAAAAGTTGGCTTAAAACTTAACATTCAGAAAACTAAGATCATGGCATCTGGTCCCATCACTTCATGGCAAACAGATGGGGAATCAGTGGAAACAGTGGCTGACTTTATTTTTGGGGACTCCAAAATCACTGCAGATGGTGATTGCAGCCATGAAATTAGAAGACACTTACTCCTTGGAAGGAAAGTTATGACCAACCTAGATAGCATATTAGAAAGCAGATACATTACTTTGTCAACAAAGGTCTGTCTAGTCAAGGCTATGGTTTTTCCAGTTGTCATGTATGGATGTGAGAGTTGGACTGTGAAGAAAGCCGAGCGCTGAAGAATTGATGCTTTTGAACTGTGGTGTTGGAGAAGACTCTTGAGAGTCCCTTAAACTACAAAGAGATCCAACCAGTCCATCCTAAAGGATATCAGTCCTGGGTGTTCACTGGCAGGACTGATGCTGAAGCTGAAACTCCAATACTTTGGCCCCCTCATGCGAAGAGTTGACTCACTGGAAAAGACCCTGATGCTTGGAGGGATTGGGGGCAGGAGGAGAAGGGGGTGACAGAGGATGAGTTGCTGGATGGCATCACCGACTCGATGGGCATGAGTTTGAGTAAACTCCGGGAGTTGGTGATGGACAGGGAGGCCTGGCGTGCTGTGATTCATGGGGTCGCAAAGAGTCGGACATGACTGAGTGACTGAACTGAACTGAACTGAACTGAGAGATAGATACTAAGGCAAATATTAGATATGAAAACACCAGGGGCATTATTTATTAACTTGCAGAGTAAGAATGTGAGTTCTTGGCTGATCACTCTGGCAGCCCCTGATTCACATCCCTTAGACATGATTTATTCACTGTCCTTCAATGCTCCCCTCGAGGCAGTCAGTGAAACAGCTTCTTTGATGAAAACCTTTATAGTTCACAGGTGCCATGAGATATGAGTAATTTAGGCATCAGTACGTGTGAGAGAAGGTTTGAAACTAGATTCAATAATTGCATGTCTGTAGGCTTGGAGCGTTTCTAGCTAAAGAACTATCTTAACCCCCTAGTCACTTGTTCATAACTTTCTGTTTTCTTTCATAAAAGTTTCATAACTGCCCTTTAGTTTTCTCAGCGTCTTGCCTTAACAATGCTTCTCTCTTGTCATAAAACCTAGGGACCTGCATTCTCCTAGGAATTATTGAAGCTCTTATGTCAAGACTTGTGTGAGAAACAGGGCTAGGGCAGAGAGGGCTGTCTTATAAGCTCAGGAGAATGCTCTTGGGAGACATTCCAGGTGACCATGCTTTATTTAGGGAGCTATCACCCATATAGGCAAGAAGGTATGAGAGTGGAGGTGTCTGAACAGGATTGAAGGACTTAGTCTTGTTCATTTCTCTCTTTTTAATTAATACCCTGATCTCTAAGCTATCTGCACCCATGCATCTACTCTTAGAATGTATACATTATTCCTATTGAGCATGCTTGGGCTGACAGACGTGAAATGAAGTCTGGCATGAATGATCAAAAGGTCCAGTTTGTGCTTGTCTCCCAAATAAGATCTTGCTAAAGACCGAAACAATAGTCATTTGTTTCCTACCCTGTTGCCTAAACCTAGACCTTTATTGGGTGTATATTCTGAGCCTTAAGCAATCAGCCAAAGAAGGTCAAGGGTAGGACTGCAACTGGGAGCAGAAACTCGGATCAATTCAACTTCAGTAGGATTTTCCCTCCCTGTTACATGAGGCAGTAAAGTTCCGTGGTTAGAAGCATGGATACTAACACTAACAGACTTGCATTCCAATCTTATTTCCATGTCTTACATGCTTTATGTAAGTAAGAAATCCAACTTCTCTGTCCTTCAGTTTCCCCATAAATAAAATGAAAATGATCATAGTAGCTCCTACTTCATAGGTTTCCTTTAAACATTAAGAGAGTCAACATGCAAGAAATGTTTAAAACTGTGGTGGGCACACAGCACTGCCTTTCTGTAAGTGTTATCCATTATTTTTCATTCCAGTCCCCTATAATGAAAAGGACATCTTTTTTTGGTGTTAGTTCTAAAAGGTCTTGTAGGTCTTCATAGAACCATTCAACTTCAGCTTCTTCAGTGTTACTGGTTGGGGCATAGGCTTGGATCAGTGTGAGATTGAATAGTTTGCCTTGGAAATGAACAGAGATCATTCTGTTGTTTTTGAGATTGCATCCAAGTACTGCATTTTGGACTCTTGTTGACCATGATGGCTATTTCATTTCTTCTAAGGGATTCCTGCCCACAGTAGTAGATATAATGGTCATCTGAGTTAAATTCACCCATTCCAGTCCATTTCAGTTCGCTGATGCCTAGAATGTCGATATTCACTCTTGTCATATCCTGTTTGACCAGTTCCAATTTGCCTTGATTCATGGACCTAACATCCCAGGTTCCTATGCAATATTGCTCTTTATAGCATCAGAGCTTGCTTCAATCACCAGTCACATCTACCACTGGGTATTGTTTTTACTTTGGCTCCATCTCTTCATTCTTTCTGGAGTTATTTCTCCACTGATCTCCAGTAGCATATTGGGCAACTGCTGACTTGGGGAGTTCCCAGTATGAAAAGGCAAAATGATAGGATACCGAAAGAGGAACTGTCCAGTCAAGGCTGTGGGTTTTCCAGTGGTCATGTGTGGATGT